TCCCCACCCTTTCTCCTTTCCCTTCCCTTCTCTTCTTCTTCTTCTTTGCCTTGTTCGCATCTTCTATTTGAAGTGGCTCGGGGTTTGGCCTCTCTCGGTTTTCACCAACGTTGTGCCCGGAATATTTTGTTCCACCTGGCCTCTTCTATTTGAAACCCTCCGGGCGGCAAATTTCCAAACCCTTCAAATAGAAGATTGGCACAAGCAATTTCTTGTATAATAGATTCCCGTACTATAACAAAGTAGAATCCTCTGACGATTCTTGGGTTCCTTGCTGGCAAGAGTTTTCAGGTGACACGCCACACTTGAGCCAGAGTTGTTCATGTCCAAAGGGTGTGGTGAAACTCAAGACAACGCTTTGCGGCTGTGTGAATGAATTCTGGAAATCCACAAATTATGATTATGTTGAGCGACTTGTAGCACAGTACTTGTGTAAACCCCGCAGGTAGCGAGCACGGGCTAGCTCGGCGAACAATAAACAGACGGTCAATTAAGCAACTAAAATTCAAGGTGTGACATTCTAGGTTCAGTTTGCTGAAACCAACCAATCACAACCCTTCTTTGCGCACCACATGCCCACGAGAGCAGTGCCAGCTCGGGACAAGCCAGCATGGGTATAGCCTGTGTGACCTCCTGGGGAACTCAGATCGATCAAGTCTCATCAAATCTAAGAATTTCCACAACTTCGGCTCTCATTAGACTCATCAATGTTGGATCTTAATTGGTAAAACCGTCCCCCTCCTCCCCCTAGTAAACAATCGAGGGAGTCTCAACAGTAGCACCGCCACAAAAACTGGTAGTAGTAGTAGTAGTAGTAGTAGCAGTAGTAGCAGTAGTAGTAGTAGCAGTAGTAGTAGTAGCAGCAGCAGTAGTAATAGTAGCAGTAGGAGCAGTAGCAGTAGCAGTAGCAGTAGCAATAGCAATAGGAGCAGCAATGGGAGCAGTAGGAGTAGGAGTAGCAGCAGCAGCGGCAGCTGTAGTAGCTGTAGTAGTAGTCGTGTAGTAGCTGTCGTGTTGTTTTTTGTTTGTGGTGGTGGTGGTGGTCTGAATCAATAGTAAACTAGACAAACCTTTAAAAAAAGACGGGTGAACAGACTTTATTTTATTCCCTCCCACTAAACTATTCAGGGTGTTGGAATAATTTGGCGAACACTTTGTATGTATTATTCCCTCCCAATTGACTAATTAGACTCAAAAACGCCTCCGAGAGGGCCGCTGTTGCTACATCATCTCGCACACCAAGCATAGCCAATCCGCACAGACTTGCAACCAAGTCTTCCGCGCTGAGCCGCGGAGCCTGGAAAACGCAAAATTGCGTTGTGCTAAGCCGCTAGGACAACTGAGACCACTAAAGACAATAGTCTGCTCATGCTTGTACTCCACATCAGCACCATGCGCCTGGTCAGCAAGCCGGTCCAGGCAAGCCACCAACACCTCACATGAATAAATCCAAATTGAATACTGCTCTGAAGCCGTGCAGTCATACACACAGCCTCTTCATCCTCCTCACTTTCATCTGGAAGCTCGTCAACCTGACAAACAACTACTGTCGAGCATCAAAAAGTTGCACGCAACAGAGATGCTATGTCAGGGCTGCTAGGACTGTACAGGCTAATTTTGCTTTTTCCACTGTACTGTCACGCTCTCAGACAGAGTCTGCAGTCTTGCCCTGTCTTACAGCCTCTGCCACCTGGCCAGAAACCCAAAACATGCAAAATGTCCAGTTGCAACATGGGCCTAGGAGAAAGTTCGGACCAAGCAAAAGAGATCCAAAAGCATTTGTGCATGCAATATGTATTTCCCACCTTTGAAAGTGCCGTGTTGTCGGCATACCGCTTGTAGGTACCACAAAGCGCTTCGGGTTCAGCCAACGTGGCTTTGACGGCTTCGGTGGCTAAGACACTGTCTAGCCACTTTGCCAGCTTTGGACGAGTCGCCAGGTCGAGAGCAAAGGCTGGGCCTGCGAATGAGAACAAAAGTGGATTGCACATGACCCACAAGTCGAAATGCTCGCAGCTCTAACCGAAACACAGCATTGCCCGTGTCTACTTATCTTCCCATTCCCCTCAGGCAAAGGTTCATCCACAATTTTCGCCTCGAAACCGTTCCAGGATCTTGCAGTGCAAGATGCGATAAGCCCAAGGAATAAAGGCAATATCGGCTGCCGTAAGTTGCTCGCCCATGAAGTAGGGTCCTTTGATCCACGCCTGGCAGGTGATGGTGTGATCACTCAGTTCGCTTCATCGCTACTTCAAAGAAGGTGCTATTCAACAGACAAACTGCAATAGGCTCAAGATATGGGATGCCATACAAGCAACACAGTGCTTGAGAATGATATCATAAGCTGGCTTTTAAAAGATTTCAAAAACTGTGCAACACCTGTATTGAATGAGCCTAAAACAGGTCTTCAACATGGCCACTTCCAAGGCTGCAGGTGTTTCCATCAGTTCCATGCAGCCTCCAGTTCATCGATGCTGCACTGTAGCATCTTGAGGGCAGCTTCCCGGTCTTCTGTAGATGTGCGGACCAACACCTGGTAGAAGGGGGAGCAAAGATTCCTCGGCTCCGACTCAGGTCCAGTTTGTGACTGAGCAACACCACCCGAGCGGTCCGATTTTATGACACGCAAGACTGCAAGACTCCCTCCGAGAACACATTGACAAACACGCAAATGTCCTGTAGATCCACAACGGTAACAATGCGTAGGGAGAAGAAAGACTGTTGAAAATGAGTCAGAGATTCTTGTTGATCCAATCTACTTTTAGCCGAAGAGCTGCCCTCTCTGCAGGGGTGCCTGGCATTAGGCTGGGGCGTTCTCCGCAGCATGCTGCTATCTCATCAATGTACTCCACGCAAACAGAGCTCTCATAGACAGGCGGCATGCCATCTTCGGCCAGGGTGGGCACCAAACCCTTGGGGTTCAACTCCAGCAATCTGGGATGCTTCTTGTAGCCTTTGAAGTCTTCACCTGGAGCATCTGGAAGTAATCCCTCAATCTTCCTGTACTTGAGGCCGTGGTGCTCGAGAGCAATCCAAGCTCGCTGTGCATAGGGGCAAAACCAGGCGGAGAAAAATTCTAGCCCAGCAGAAACAGTCTTGTCTGCTGCTCGTTTGCTCATCACGCTCTCGGATGATACGTTGCCAGATGGCGTTGTGCAACGGTCAGATCAAGATGTAGCTTCTGTTGAGAAGTATAATACTGTAAGTAAAAAATATCATCAAATACTGTCTTCTGTTTGATGAGGAGAATGAAAAGCTACGTTAGGGTCTGGCAGGGAGTTGGTGTCTGATGCTGCTTCATGGTTGAGACTTCCTAGTTCTCGTTCTCCCTTCAACGGATGCAGAAAAGACAAGCTGCGAAGAGAGAGAGAGAGAGAGAAAGAAAGAGAGGGCACATTGATCATGTCTGTGGTGCAGGAGAAACACCAACTGGTCTCACATGAAGTACATGTATGTTCGACCATTGCAGAAGTCAATCTTTAGATAATTAAATTTTGAATCTGTGTATGTTCTATAAGTACAAGCACACCACTGTATAACTATAACTGTAAAAGTGAGAGAGAGAGAGAGTCACACCATGTCAAACTCTCCTCTCCGCAGCTCCGAGCCTCCACATGGCGGAGCAAGGATTTGAGCACGCTGCCAGAAGCTTCAGCTGTCAACGTGGACAACTGATCCAAGTCCAGGCAGCGGTGTCTGGCCGGCCCAAATTAGCAATGGCTTCTTGTTCCTAGTAGCTTCTTGTTATTAGTAGTAAGGCCAGGAGCCCCTAGTAGCGTCCTTGCTCCTAGTAGCGATGCCCTTTGCTCCTAGTAGCTTCTTGTTCCTAGCTTCTTTGAAGCGTCTTCCAACTCTTAGCTCTTTTGAAGTTTCTTCTCAAAAGTCTCTTCAAACTCTTTACTAAAGCAACTCGCAACTCGGACAGAGCCTGCAAATGGCCTCTCCGAGCACTACACCAAGACTCTCCAAGGCGGCTGAAGTTGGAGGCGCAGCAGCCAAAGACCTAAGCTTGACCAGCCAAGAGCTGCATTTCACTTCAACCACAAATCCTGAAACTTGGTCTATCAAATAAGCAAGACAAGCAATAAATAAAAACTGTAAATCAATTAAATGCATGTCAAAGCATTCAAACATCCATTAGCCAGGATGCTGCGCTGCCTGGACCAGCTCAGCAGGTGCCAAAGTATGTACTGCACGGGCGGCTCGTGGCGCCACCGCCACCGCCAGTGTAGTGTTGCCAAAACGAAGCAGCTCAAGACCTCAAACTTTCAAGAGTCACACACAACTCACACACCTACGCAAGTTCTTTAGTTCTCATCGCCTCAAGGAGGATGTAGGAGGCTAAATGAGAAGGCTGCAAGGGCGCAGTAGAGCTCGGCTTCTTCAAAGAAGCTTCTCCCGCCAGGCGGGATAGTTTTCTTAGAGAACCCTTACATATCAGAATGCTCCTAGTTCTTGCAGGATTTTATGTAGGACTTGATGGTGTATCATAGTGTTACCTTACTATTGGCATTTTTCTTGGCCGATTCTGGGGGGGTTGTAGACAAATGATTCACTCGCTGTTCGATGCTAATGGATGAGGTGGATGTGTGTCTACACTCGTTTGTTCTAGCAGTTTAAATGCTCGATGCTCGCCTTTAATAAGGCTGGGATGTCTTTATAATATACTGTACTTCACTGAGATATTATCCAAGCGGCAATGGTTGTGGCGCAGAGGATATCTCTTAGACAACAAGTTGGGGAAAGGATCGTTCCCTAAAAGAAAGTTCAGAGAGGGTGAAGCGAACTTTTGTGGCTGACTGTTGTCCTGAAGAATTTCGTAAATCTCTTTTGCGATTTGTTTTTCACGTCCACAACAGACCAGTCATTGATTCCTCATAATTATATAGCTTCGGCTCATGAGGTCTGTGTCTTGGAAGGTAATGCGACTAGTAGCTGTGCTTGCAGCGCCTTGCTTCCATGACATGTCTCTGGTTGAGAACGCTGACTAGAGCAACAACAAAGGCAAGTCTTCGGCTCAAGCCTGTCAAGTACAAAAAGAACGCACTCCTCAGTACACTCAGCAGGCGCGAAGGTGTTAGAGCCTTTCATCGGCAGCAGCAAGAACCTGAGTCTCTGTTTTTTTGTGTGGCCACTCCTCGCTGCCAAATGAAAATAGGTTGCGTGGGCAATCGAAGCCACAAAGGAGTATGAGATCAACTTTTGAGAAGCTCTGACCATCAAAGGAACAATGTTCGCTACTAGGGGCTCCTGGCATCGCTACTATTACTAGGAGCAAGGACGCTACTAGGGGCTCCTGGCCTTCCTTCTAGGAACAAGAAGCTACCAGGAGATCAACTTCAGAGGAGACGGACAAATCAAAAGGACGGTCAAGGATAGCCACACTGCTATGCCGCTACGCTCTGACCATCACACCAGCGGTCATGTCGAATTGTGCACGACAATATCACGGGATAACATCTATTGCGCAAGCTCCGGAATTGAAACGGAAGAGAACACCGCGATCTGAAACAGGCGTTTCTTTTTCGGCTCGACGGGGAAATGCAAGAGCACATTTCCCTGCTGGTTTTACCATAAACAGCGCTTTTATCATGATAGATAAATGTTTTGACTCTGAATACATTTCGGGCCACTGAAAATTGTTCGTAGGTGTTCATTCGTTCTCCAGCCGAAATTCTCAGTCAGATGTTGATGCACATGCTTTTGCAGCACACTTATTCACTGCGTGTCAATTTGTGCTGCATATATATATATATATATCATCATGTATCCTAATATTTGTGTGAACATTGTCGTGTGATGCCCTTGCAGATTCAGTCCAGGTCAAAGTCAAAGCCTCATACTTCTGCTTTATGAAATGGAATCCATTGAAATTGAATCCACAAATTATTGGGAAGATAAGGGATGGCCCATCTTATTCTATCAACCGGGAGGAAGTAGAAGTGGTATGCCAAATCCCTAGCGGCACGATCGACCGGAACGAGTACCCGACGGTTGGAGGGTCGAGTCCCCGTGGCGAAAGTGCAGGTTGCCGGACGAACGAAGGCACGACGGCGAACGAACGAACGGAGGGGCAACGAAGTGCGAAAGAGTGCGGAAGCGAAAAGCGACGAAGGGGAAAACCGTCCACAGGACAGTTAAACCCGGCACCCTGCAAGGAAACGGACGGGCGTCCTTTTCCTTGAGCCAAAGAGCGACGGTTGTCACATGTGTTGTACACGTGATGTGTGAACCGTAGCTAGATAGGTGAACATGTAATGAATGCTGTTACATACTAGGGGTTCACAGAAAATGACTCCCCCCTCCCCGTTTTGGGGCAGCATTCCTTTGTACATGCATGAATTACCGCGCCGGGTGGCAGCGGTTTCGACGACCTACGAAGGCTTCGAACTGCTCGAAAGGCTCCTATCTGTCTTAGACGGGATTAAGCACTTTAAGTCTGTACGGATACCAAGCAAGCATAGCGCTTTGAACCACTTTTGTGGTGGTAACGCTTTGGTGAAAATGTCTGCAGCTTGTTCATTCGTATCGATGTACTTAATCTCGACAGATGGGTCGTCGATGCATTCTTTTAAAGAACTAAGATTTATCTTGTGGGTTCGGCTGATGTGTCGTAGCTTAGGGGAAAAGCCCTTTCTCACTACTAGAATCGTGGCTTGGTTATCCTCTTGTATGACGAGGTTAACGGTCCGTCCAAGGAGTTTATCCCATAGTTGTAACGAAGGAAGACCTTCTTGATACAACGAATAGGCCAAGCTCACTACTTCCGACTCTGTAGTGGACCTTGACGTGGAGGTCTGGCGCTTAGACACCCATGCTAGTGGATAATGGGTGTTGGGACCCTTGAGTACTAAGTACCCGCCGGAGGTGGACTTCACGTCGTGTTGGTCGCCACCAAAGTCGGCATCCACGAACAGCTCTAGCCATAGCTCACTAGCATCATCGCCGCAGACGGCGGTTAATCTATATTCTAGTGAGTGTTGAATGTACTGAATGAGCCGTAGCAGCTTTTTATCGTGCACACGGGTCCACTTCTGTACCTTAGTGGCTAGATCATTGATCGGTTTAAGGATGTCGGGTCGTGCTAACCTGGCAAGCCATAGGGCTTTCATCAGGATAGAGCACGCCTTTGGCGCGAGCTCTCCGGGCGACTCCTCATCAGCCGTGGAGAATGTGCCGTCGGCGAGAAATGGCGTCTGGGCTGACTTTATCTTTTCAACACCGGCCACCGACTTATAGAGGTCGATGGTTTGCTGTGCGTAATCCTTCATGTCGAAGATTAGGGCGTCAGCACTACCGCGCAAAGCAGCGGTCTCGGTGTTTCCTGAATCTGGGACTACCGCGTAGATGTGGTTCCTTCCTAGCATTCTGTAAATAGGCTCGGGTGGTTCCACGTTATCAACATTCGCGAGTTCTGACCAAAACTTTTGGTGGTGTTCCCGTGGCCCTGCCAAAGTAAGGTCGTCAACGTATGTAGATAACATTAAACGAGGACCAGAAAACCAGAAGTTACCGGGGAACTCTGGGATTTCTTCGCCACCCATTTTCTTAAGAATGCCCTTCAAATGCTGTTCCCACATCCCTCCTGCGTCGGGATGTCCGTACAGCGCTTTGACGAGAAGGACCACTGGTTGAACAAATTTGTTCTTCCACCATGCGGGTCGAAGTTCAGGTGGTAATTCGATCCAAGTTTTATACTTGGATTTTAGTGTTGCTTGCACATACGCCTTCACCGCATCCGCGGCGGTGCACAGGTTACCAGGTAGTGACCCGTACGCTAGGCAAGCGTTCAACCCTTGGACCGAAGTCGGGTTTGCGCCTAATTCCTCATAGACGGCTGCTGCGCCATGCTCGTCCTTTGCGCAGTCACCTCGGTAGACAATTCTACCTTTCTTTTTCTGCAACTCCTTTGCCAGCTCGTAAAATTTAATGGAGGCTATGGTCATTAGTTTACCGAAATGGACGGAGACTCCGGAAGCCTTAGCCTCAGCACGGACGTGCTCCTTTTCCCTAACGGATTCATACTCCCAAGTACCTTCGTTAACCAAATCGGCTGCCTCGTCCTTAACCTTTTGCAAGGCTTCAGGATCACTGAGCATCTCGGTACGGCTTAGGAGCTTGGTGACCAAAGCTGCTACCTGATCTCTACCATCATCGGTCTTTGGGATCTGGTAGGCCTCGTGCATAAGAGCACTGATATCCATTAAACATTCAACCATTGGCCCGACAGTGTCGTCTGTCTCAACTGCGATGGCCATAGCGTCGATTCCCGACAAAGCTGACACGTGTTTCAGCGTCTGCTCTTTGTCCCTGTGCTCATGTTCATAGGTACATGAAAAACATGGCATGGCTGGGGCATGATGGGAAAAAGACATGCTAGGGTAAAGGGCCTTTGCAATTTGGACAGTCATCTGCCTTGGGTAAAATGCAGTACGAGCTGTCTGCGACCCGACCGCTTGGTCATGTTCGTGGGGTTTATGGGTGCATTGGAACTGCGAGAACATGTCGACGATAGCCCTGCTGGTGGTCATCAGGCGCCACCTCTTTTTAATGGGTCTGCCTTTAGTAGATTTCACACCAACAGCACACCCGTCAAATTCGACTGGAATAAACTCAGGGTGGCTATCAAAGAAATGTTTTACGTCTGTGCGTTGCCAACTTTCACACCCTTTAGGCCACTCAAAAGTGACAGTGCCTTCTCGAGCTAACGTTAGCTCTGCTGACTTGGCAAATTCGGCAAATAAACGCTTGGACTCCTTAACCTGGAGTGCATGCCTTTTCATGAAGTTAAGCCCCCCTTTCATGCGATTTACCCTTTGCCAAGGAGACCCAGATGTGCATGGGATTGAAGCCCACAAATCGGGAGTCTCATCACAGGTGCTTATATGGTGATGCAACTGCGCTTGCATTTGGGGATCGTCTAGATCGAGGTGCTCTTTTGAAAGGGCAATGTGGGGAATTCCCATCCCCAGAAAAGTCTCGTGCGTTTGCGAATCCGAGGCACATGCAAACTCGAACATGCATCGGCCAGGCCGCGCCTTACGCGGTTTCTTCTTCTTCTTCTTAGACTTAGAAACTTGAGCTGGTTGTGTCGTTGATGGCATGCCAAACACCGGGACTCCACTCTCAGGGCGAGTGTGGATGAGTTGTGTCCAGTAGGTGGTATGTGGCGAGAGCGACAGCCCTGATATCACGGTCGGGGTCGCATCGATGACGTGTGACTCATCCTCGGTGATACTTTCGGATGAATCCGTCGGAG